TGTATGTACGAACCATAAACTTGAATTGTGCAATTTAATTATTGTTTTTTTTATATACTACTTCCAGAGATCGCTAGATGATTTTGGTCGCTTAAAATAAAACCTTCAGCTACTTTAATTGTTCTTGTGATTGTAATGGACTTATCGCTTCAAGAAACCATTTCATAGATATCAACTATAATCCATGCTGATTCATTCATACATATATATATTATGAATATACGTGGACTAACATCGATTATCTGATTTAAAATTTGTATTTACGTGTTATCTATATTATACACGCAATTACGCATATATAAGAGGAGACTTTGATAAGTTACCTCTGTTATTAGGAATATAAAAATAAGTAGAAAACAAAAGTTCTTCCTTGTCTGTACGCAAGTTCACACGTCATTTTGTTTATTGGAATCATTACTAAATTATAGATTAATTATGATCTCTTGTTCTTACGACCAAAAAAAGTTGTTTAGTTCTAGTTTTGGCTATTTGGGTTAGTACTATTATAAACGTGAATTCATGTTTCGAAGAGCTTAATATAGCTGTCGAGAAAGCTACAACTATCTTTAATTTAATATGGGTTACTTGTCCAACTATCATCTTATGTATTTATTAATTTTAAACCAATGAAATAATCGTTCGTATATATAGCCGTCGACTTTTATCGAATATTATTAATTTCACTCGATTATAATTGGTTTGTTCTTGGACTTTTGTTTTTGTAAAACTAACGACCAAAGGGTGTCATTAATTCATCATATATATATTATTAAGAAGAAACGAAAATTTTGTAAATTCAGACTATTTATGTTTGGTTGTAGAGTGAAAGCAAAGAGGATAACATTTTGAGAGAAAGGTGTGTTTCTATGGGCTGCTCAGTGTCGAAGAAGAAGAATGCAATTCGACCGCCGGGATATGAGGACCCCGAGCTTCTTGCTTCCGTCACACTGTGTCAGTTTATTTTATTTTAAATGTTTTTAATATCATAATCTCAAATGTTATAAAAACATGTTTTGGATTTTTGTCAAAACTCTCATTTTGATGTTGGGAGGGACAATAGTTACGGTAGCAGAAGTGGAGGCTTTGTATGAACTGTTCAAGAAGCTAAGCAGTTCAATTATTGACGACGGTCTTATTCATAAGGTTTCTTCTTTCATTCTTTCGTTTTGCCGAAATACTATCTAAACAGAGTCCCTACTTTGGTTTTGAGATATTTTCTATTCGTATGTATAGAAAATGAGTAAATATATGGCTTGATTATAGTTAAAAGTGTGATGTTGCAGGAAGAATTTCTCCTGGCTTTATTCAGAAATAGGAACCGGAAGAACCTCTTCGCTGATCGGGTGGGTATACTAGCCACCTATAACAAGTTACATTTATAGAAAGCATATACAATATGTTTAAACAAAGTTTTGTATTTGTAATATGTTATATGCAGATATTTGATGTATTTGATGTGAAGCGAAATGGAGTGATCGAGTTTGGGGAATTTGTCCGGTCCTTGGGCGTTTTCCATCCAAGTGCACCAGTCCATGACAAAATCAAATGTCAATATTGCTTAACATTCATTCTATGTTAAGTACTTCGTAATACTTTTTTACATTTTTTTGAAGTTAGACTAACAATGAATTTCATCATGAATTTGCAGTTGCTTTCAAATTGTACGATTTACGACAAACTGGATTCATCGAGCGAGAAGAAGTGAGTCCATTTACTATTACTTTTACGGAAACCGCCAGATTTTAATTTATATGTTTTTACCCCCCCAAATAATTTTGTGTGTGTTGTTCTAACATGTAATAGTTGAAAGAGATGGTAATTGCGCTTCTTCACGAATCTGAGCTTGTTCTTTCCGAAGATATGATCGAAGTAATGGTGGATAAGGTAAATCCATCACTTCAATCACACCTTTACCCATCTGTTTATTTTTCTATATATTGAAGCTTATAAGTTATATAACCTTGATAATCAGAAAAAAAAATTACAAAGAAATGGTGGTATAATTGCAGGCTTTTATCGAAGCAGACAGCAAAAACGACGGAAAAATTGATATAGATGAATGGAAAGATTTTGTATCCTTGAATCCGTCTCTGATCAAGAACATGACTTTGCCATATCTAAAGTGAGTTTATATTGAATTGAACATTTTTCTTTTTTAGAGTAGTTGCCTAAACTCTTACGAAAATATAATGGTTAGAGCCGTGACCAGCTTGAGCCAAACCGACCGGTTTGATTGATGCATTGAACTAAATTGATTGATCATAAGATTCTTGGTAAATGTAGGGACATAAAAGGGGCGTTTCCAAGTTTCGTTTCATCTTGGGAAGACGAAGAATTGCAGTTGCAAAATGGACAAAAACTTCAAGAGGATGATAGATTGATCATAAGTTAGGATTTGAAAATGGTTGTAATAAGTCAATCTTGATAAGGATCTTGGAGTTGGACTTGCCTTATGTTTTAATACTTGCATTACATGTACAACATTCTCCATTTCACATATGGAATTAAATTAATGATCTAAAACCTATAATATAATTTTTGAATATATTAGCATAGTATCATTCTGCATAAAATTTGAACAGAGAGATTCAGTTCCGGTTTTTCGCAAATAATTAAAGATTTTTGAAAGATCCTATTTTTTTATTTTTTTTTTGTCGTTGAAAGATCCTATTAACA